AGGGCTGGGGGCAGTGGGAAGAGCCCCGGAGGAGCTCAGAGGGAGCTGGAGTGAAGTGGAGGGGCTGCATTGGGCGTGTGATGGTCCCCCCATGCGCTGACCCCCAACCCCTTGGCAGGTGATGCTGGAGCAGATGCAGGGGGGGGTTGTAACGACTTCACAGAGGCAGGGCTGTGGTCCAGCCTCAACGCCCGCATCACGGCGCTGAGCGTCAGCGACTGCATCAACGTGGCCGACGATGCCATCGCCGCCATCTCGCAGCTCCTGCCCAACCTCACCGAGCTCAACCTGCAGGCCTACCACGTGACGGACACGGCGCTCGCCTACTTCACGGCCAAGCAAGGGTACACCACTCACACACTGCGCCTCAACTCCTGCTGGGAGATCACCAACCACGGCGTGGTCAACATGGTCCACAGCCTGCCCAACCTGAGCGTCCTCAGCCTCTCGGGCTGCTCCAAGGTGACAGATGATGGTGTGGAGCTGGTGGCTGAGAACCTGCGGAAGTTGCGCAGCCTGGACCTCTCCTGGTGCCCTCGCATCACCGACATGGCGCTGGAGTACATCGCCTGCGACCTGCACAAGCTGGAGGAGCTGGTGCTCGACAGGTACGGGGCTGCGCCCAGCCCTCCTGAGACGTGCTGGGCCGTGCCGAGCCATGCCGTGCCGTACCGAGCCATGCTGATCTGTGCCGAGCTGTGCTGAGCCATGCCATGCCATGCCATTAATTGTCGTGCCATGTTGAGCCATGCCGTGCCGTGCCATGTGAAGCCATGCTGAGCCATGCCAAGCCATGACAAGGTATGACATGCCATGACATGCCACATTGTGCTATGCCATGTCGAACCATGTTGAGCCATGTCAAACCACGCCAAGCCATGGCAAGGCATGACGTGTCATGACGTGCCGCATCATGCCATGCCATGCTGTGCCATGTCAAGCCATGCTGTGTGCCAAGGCATTATATGCCATAACATGCCACATCATGCTGTGCCATGCCATGCATTGCCATGCCACGTCAAGCCACGTTGAGCCATGCCGAGCCATGCCAATCCATACCAATCCATGCCAAGGCATGACATGCCATTCCATGCCACACTGTGCTGTGCCATGCTGAGCCATGCCAAGGCATGACATGCCATGACATGCCACATCATGCCATACCACACCACGCCATGCCATGCCATGCTGGACTGTGCTGGAGGCAGTGGGTGCAGCCACTGGGTCTGGGGACACCCGTGGGTGCCCTGCTCCCGGCCAGCCCTGACACACCATGTCCCCGGCAGGTGCGTGCGGATCACGGACACCGGCCTCAGCTACCTGTCCACCATGTCATCCCTGCGGAACCTCTACCTGCGCTGGTGCTGCCAGGTAGGTGGGGGACATGGCGGTGGCTGTCCCGAGGGCACACTGGGGAGGGCGCAGCGGCTGCCACCACCCTGGGGACAGGCCACCAGCTCAGCTTGGAGGCTCCAGGGCTTGTGCTGGGGAGTGGGAAAGGGTGGGGGGAACTGGAGAGCTCAGCAGGACTCGGCCTTGGCACCATGAGCCAGCACCCTGCCCCTGCCCCCAGCACCCTGCCTGGGCACCCAGCACCCAGGACCCTGCGCCTTCAACCCAGAACCCTGACCCAGCATCCTGCACCCTGCCCCAGCTCCTTCCCTGGCACCCAGCAACCTGCCCCAGCACCCAGCACTCAGAACCCTACCCCAGCATCCTGCATCCAGCCCCAGCACCCAGCACCCTGCCCCAGCACCCAGCCCCCTGCCCCACCATCCTGCATCCAGCACCCAGGA